GAACTTCTCACCCTATCTCTAAGGGAGAGGCCAGCCACCCTTCAGAGGAAGCCCATTTCCGCCGCAAAGTTTTTGTTCTAATAAAAGACGATTATCACGGCTCATATTTTCAGTAATATCTGAAGTAATGCAAATGTGTTGCTTTACTCAAACTGCTACAGCACAAAAATGCTGCACAGGCGTGGGTAATAACACCCAGTAGTGCCACACATACTGTCTGCAGTATGACTTTTTTTTTAATATCTTGCTCATGAATCCAACTAAAAAAATGTTTTAAAACCCAACAACTTCAAATGACCCTGAAATCCGCTTTACTTTTTACTGGCATGTAAATATGGATAAAGTGATCTGGAGACGTACAGCATTCATCCTATGTGCAGTATTATTACTTCTTGAACACAAAGGCCACCTGTAGTGGCACCTGCCCATCACAGGTATTTTAAGGAGGCTTTAGATGTTTTCATTGAGTGTATTTAACAACAATCCATCCTCTCCATCTGCAGCCCCCCCTCTCTGAAAGCCTGTAACCTCAGGCGCCAGTGGCAACCAGCCTCGGCCCTGATATATTGACTATCCTCAGCCACAGCCCTCCTCCTCCTGTCCCGCAGTCCTGAGCTCCATGTTGTCGCTGTCTAGTGGTGCGGCAGGACAACAACAGGATTTCGGATTACCCTTGACCAACAAAACGCCTCAGCTCCTGACTGCGTGTAAAATTAGGAGCAGAGCACGGTCGACCACACACGCGCGCACGCAAACACACACGAACAGACACACAGAGATATACACACACACAGACTTTGCTTATACAAGCCCACGACTCCCACGTCTGCTAGAAACAAACACTTTAACCGTTGGTGGTCCACTCCCTCTGTCATACCTCGAACCGGCCCTTGGTGATACCGTTCATGTCTGCGGCGGCACGTCCCAGCTACACGCCGCGCAGAAACCACTCGAGTCGTTTGACGGTTATTGTTTTTGTCGCCGTTTTATTTTTGGTCGGTCGGAGTGTAGGAGCCGAGCTGAAGCTGGGTCTTCACACCCTCCTCCTCCTCCGCCTCCACCTCCCCCCCTGAGCCGCCAGCGAGGCTCCCGTACTCCGGGTCAGTGGGGTGACGGTGAGGGTGGTGGTGGTCCGGGGCGGCCTGGGGCAGCGTTGACACTCGACGTCTCGAAGACCAACGGCTCCCCAGCAGCCCGTCTCATCACAGGGCTACCAAAATAACAATAATAACATGGACGGTCTGTCAAGTGACTTCACTTCCGCCTCTCCCTTCATCGCTTCATCGGCGGTCAGCTGGCCGCGGATCGCCCAACTTTGCTGAAAACACACGGGAATCGTTAGGCCGATGTCCGCCTTTACTCGTTGCACCGCACGGTTCCCGCAGCGGACGCGCGTGTGGCGGCTGACACGAGCGCTTTCCTCAATGTTTTCTGTTTACTTGCGGGGAAGGGGGAGGGGCGACGTGACGTCATTGCTGCGGGAAAACCACGCGTGGTCGATTTGTTTTGATTGTGGGCTTGTTGCAGGAATTTTAGGAAGGGAGGAAGAAACCAAATCATAACTAATTGGGGCTCATTTACCAGCACAGGCAGAATTTTAATAAAATTTATTTTTTTAAAAACCCAAAAGGGATGGAGGGGGTGCCCTGACACGAACGCGTGGGTTTGCTTAGAGGGAACGTTTGAGCTCCACGAGCTTTTCTGCTGTAACACAGCCTGTTTCAGGCACGCCTGAAAGACACACTCAAAGCAGTCTGGGCTGAGTCCTTTGTCAAACATCAGTGCCAATAAAGTTTCTAGATTCAAATACAAGTACAGAAATTAAGTAACTAAAGGAATCGTCATGTTATTATAAAATGATTACTACGTGGCCAGCATGTGTTGGTCAGTTTAATCTGAAACCGAAAAACACGATCTCCACAGTAGTTCTGTCTAAGTCATAAGAATCCTATTTTACAGTACATTAAAATTCACGCCCCTATACATACAAATGACCCACTAAATGCAACCCTCAACAAAATAGTATATAACTCAATAAAACATAACAAAACAAATATCTTTGTAAGGTAAAATTGCATTAAAACAGTTTGATTAAATTAAGTAGAAAGTTAAATTTAATTAGTATTAAAAAAGTAACGTAGAATAAAAATAATCATCATTATTTTTAATTAAATTGGCCTGCCTTTTTTTCAACATTATGTTTATTAAAGTTTTACATATATACATATATAAAGTACATACACAAACAAATTTACACAATAAACGAAACACAAGGTACATTCAATGAAAGCACTTGAGTCCATGAGACCTCTGACAGATTTCAAAGAATAATTTTCAGATTGCAGCATATGGTTGTGGTCCTGTACAGGAAATAGCTAGGTTGTCCCTGTCTCACACAGTAAACCAGATAGATCTTTATTCCCAATATACTGGATGTAGCGCCCCCAAATTTTCTGGAAAATTTCTTGTTTATCTTTTAGAGTATATGTAATTTTCTCTAATGGTAAACATAAAGACAATTCTTTGAACCAATGTGAAATACTTGGTTTGCCAAGACTCCTCCACGTTAGAGCTATCACTCTCTTTGCTTGTAGTATTCCCATGTTTATGAAGATTTTTTCAAAATGATCTATGTTACACCCTACAGGATATAATCCCAGT